GAGTGTGACAGCGTGCGCGGGCCATGAGAAGCACAGCGGGCCATGAGAAGCAGAGCGGGCCATGAGAAGCAGAGCGTGCCATGAGAAGCAGAGCGGACCACGAGAAGAAGGGTGGACCACGGGAAGGAGGGCGGACCATGAGAAGAAGGGCAGACCATGAGAAGCAGAGCAGACCATGAGAAGAAGGGCGGACCATGGGAAGCAGAGCAGACCATGAGAAGCAGAGCGGACCATGAGAAGGACGAACCATGAGAAGCAGAGCGGACTATGAGAAGCAGAGCAGACCATGAGGCGCAGAGCAGACCATGAGAAGCAGAGCGGGCCATGAGAAGCAGAGCGGGCCATGAGAAGCAGAGCGGGCCATGAGAAGCAGAGCGGACCATGAGAAGCAGAGCAGGAAATGAGAAGCAGAGCAGACACTGAAAATTGGAGCAGACACTATAAAGTAGAACGGACAATGGGAAGTAGAAAAGACAACAAAAAGTAGAGAAGACGATGCGGCGTAAAGGGGAAGATGAGAAGCAGAGCGGACAATAAGCCTACTGACCTTTCCACCATCTTCCTTCCACCACACACTTTCATATAATCTTAAAAGGAGAACTATGGAGTCAGTGTTTTTCCCCCATAGTTCTCCTCAGGGCCACGGGAGGACATATACTAGCGTCCTCCCGTGACTCAAAGCTCAGTATATTGCGGGCTACAGCTCCCTGTATACTGAGACCGCCGCAGCCGGGACGGATCCCGACATTACTGTCGAGATCCACCCAGCTGCGTGAGTGACAGCTATCTGGAGGCAGAGCCAGCTGTATCCGCCCCCTCCCCCGTCCGTTCCGCCAGTCAGCGGTGGAGGATCGGGGAGGGGATCCCGCCAGGGAGCCGTGAGTGACAGCCACGGCTCTCTGCAGGGAGATGATCGAGAAGTGAGCGAGCGCCGGTATGTGTTCTCTCACCTCCCGATCTATTGAGCCGTCCTGTGACAGTCTCATTGCCGCACGTCGGCCCGAACTATGAGGAGTGATTTTCACTCCCCTCATAGCTCTCCTTTAAAACCTTTTTCTTTTGTGGCTAACTCCCTATAAACACTTAGTTTCATTTGGTCACCGACACACAATAACAACAACAACAACTCCGGAAGCAGTGCGGTAACTTTCATTTATGCTCATTTGTTTTTTTACAAGACATCACCGTGTACATCATCATCATCATCATCATGAAATTTATCAAAGTACGACGTGAAAACCTTTTCTACTTCCTGTATGGCCCACTTCCTGTTTCATTCAACTTCCTACTCTACGGGAAGAGCAAAAAAAAAAACCCCAAAACTTTAAAGAGTATATAAAAAAAAAAGATAATTGTATCACCTTGTCAAAATGTTATTCGTCGTCCTCCTCGAGAACTAACTATGAGATCATTAGCCATCAGGAGATATAAGAAAGCAAAAACAAAAAAAACATTCATAGGCAATATTTTATATTTAATAACTAAACAAAAAAAAACAAAAAAAACATTCCTAATGATAATAAAAGGAATTATATACAGAACCCCCATTAATAATCTTCCTTCATGTCATGCTTGGTATCCTTGGCAGGATGGTGTCCATAGTCACAGATATAGTATGAGGCGTTATATTGTAGATAACGTCTCACTACAAAGTTCTTCAAGACGACTTGATCTATAGGTATAATAAATGGCGACTGGAGCCTATTGTAGATAACTTGAAACTCATGTACGCAATCTTTAGTAACATATATCATTGTAGACTAAATGTTATATCTAAACAAAAAAACAACTTAAGCTATATAGTAAAGGGTTCGGGTATACTTGTAGGCGGAAAGCTATATAATAGGCAGCTGCCGCAAAGGCTAGCAGACTCCTAAGAACCATTTAAAGGGTAATGAAGGCAAAAGAACTGTAGGCGTAAGCCCCCTCAAGTACGATTATAATTGTCCGATGGGATGGAGCAGCCTATTGACTCGCAGCGTGGGTTTTCTGATGCGCCATGAGATGCGATTTCAGCGTGAAACATTTCCCGCACTCTGAACACGAGTACGGGCGCTCTCCCATGTGAATCTTCTGGTGCGTCAGAAGGTTCCCTTGCTGAGTGAAAGATTTCCCGCACTCAGAGCACGAAAAAGGACGTTCGCCGGTGTGGATTCTCTGGTGCGTCAGAAGGTGTCCTCTTTCAACGAAACACTTCCCGCACTCCGAACATGAAAAAGGACGCTCGCCGGTATGCTTTCTCTGGTGAGTGAGAAGGTCGGCTTTCCGCATGAAACTCTTTCCACACTCCGAGCATGAAAAGGGACGCTCACCGGTATGGCCTCTCTGGTGTCTAAGAAGGTCGCCCTTCTGAGTGTAACATTTGCCGCACTCTGAGCAGGAAAAAGGGCGCTCGCCCGTGTGACTTCTCTGGTGCCTGTGAAAGTTCTTTTTCCACGTAAAACATTTGCCACAGTCCGGACAGGCATAAGGACGTTCACCCGTGTGACTTTTCTGGTGCACAATAAGTATCCTCTTGCGAGTAAAACATTTTCCGCACTCTGAACATGAAAAAGGACGCTCGTCGGAGTGACTCGTCATGTGTATGACGAGGCTTCCTTTCTGAGTGAAACATTTACCGCACTCTGGACAGGAAAAAGGGCGCTCTCCTGTGTGACACCTCTGGTGCCTAAGCAGGTGTTCATTTCGAGTGAAACACTTCCCACACACTGAACAGGAGAAGAGACTCCCACCGGTGTGAAGTCTCCGATGCCTCAGAAGGTGTTCCTTCCGAGTAAAACTCTGCTCGCACTCGGAGCATGGGAAAATACGCTCGCCCGTGTGAGTCTTCTGGTGTTTGAGAAAGTCTTTATTCCACATGAAACATTCTCCGCAATCTGAACACGTAAACGAACCCTCACAATTGTCTGCGCTTTCTTCTTCCGCTACAGTTATCTCCGATATGAGACCTTTATCATCTTCAGAAGATTGGGAGGTTTTATCACCTCTGTTTGCAACGCCGTCGAAATTACCAGAGGCTGATCTCTGACGATTGGAGGATCTACCTACACTACGCAGTCTCGGATAGATGATTTTGTTAACGGTGTGCGAGTCCTCAAATGACTCGTCTTGATGAGAGGGGCCCGGCGACCCGTCCGCACAGTACAGGTTCACTCCTGCCGAGTATTCCGCCGTGTCGTCATCTTCTGCGTTGCACTCCGATGTTACCATTAGATGTCGCTCCGCGGTCTTCTGAACGGAGAATCCACCTACTGGAGAGAACACGCATGTTGGTCAATCAGTCTGGAGATGGCCGGCATAGAGTGTACAATCATCACATCAGTTACAGGAATGGACCTTCATATGGTGTACAGTATCTCCTCCTCATTTGTTGGTCACATGACGTTATATTTAGGAATGGAGAATGGACCTTCATATGGTGTACAGTATCTCCTCCTCATTTGTTGGTCACATGACGTTATATTGAGGAATGGAGATGGACCTTCATATGGTGTACAGTATCTTCTCCTCATTTGTTGGTCACATGACGTTATAATTGAGGAATGGAGAATACTGGATGGAATACTTCCTGCCCATTCTCAGACATAAAGTACAGCGAGAGGGCTCCTTTCTACATTTAGTATCTCTCACTCACCCGTGTTGATATCTAGAGGAAATTCCTCCTCTTTAACTCTAACCATGATTTCATTCTCCGCTGTAGACTGCTGCTCAGCCCTCCCGTATGCCTCTTCTTCCTCTTTATCCTCAACTTTCATAATAATCAGGTCTGTCCCCTGAAATAGAAAGCCAGAAAATAAAACTAAATTCTGTTGAAGAAATCTTTGAAACCCTCTTCTGAGTTGAAGATGTTTAGCTCCGCCTACCTGATCATGGTGGGGGACGGTGAGATCTTCCTGTGTGGAATCCTGGAAGTAAAGAGGGCTTGGACATCTCTCTGGTAGACTTCTGTTACTGGATCCATCTGTAGGAGACACACACACTGACTGAATACATTGTTTCTATGTGTGTATCAGATGATGGGGGATGTAGACGGAGCCTCCGTACTGCTCTCTCCTCTTACCCGGTGATGTGAGGGGCGGCTCGTTCTCCATCACCACATCCTTGTACAGATCCTTGTGTTCTTCTAAGTCCTCCCACTGCTCAGTGCCGTCTTCACTTTCTATAGGAACCTGAGATGATAACAAATGAAGAAAAGTATGGAAGGGTCGTCCGTACAGAAATGCAGAAGTTACTTTCTCATACGGCACGCGGTTCTCGGACGGCCATGAAGTAAAAATTGTTTTGATACAGTTTACAAAACTTGCAGATCATGAGAGTTTGAAGGCTGTGGGACCAAATATGAGTTTCCGGCACTTCTCACCTCTTCACTCAGCAGTTCAATCATCTTGTAGGTGGCTTCCAGGATCTTCTGCATGTTGCGTCTGTTAGATTTCATGAACTGAGGTGGTGAAGGTTCATGAGGACGAGTGGTCGGCTTCAACGGCTCCTTAGATGCCTTCTTCACTACTTCATAATCCTGTTATAAGAGAGATGAAGACTTATTGCTACTACACTCCCAGAATCCTCCTCACCTCTCCAGGCCAGGTCTGCGTTTTATTACTAGAGATGAGAGTGAGGTCATGTGACCCTCTCAAGAGTCCTCCTCACCTCTCCGGTCAGCAGGTAGATGATCTCCACAGTGAGGTCTAGTATCCTCTCAGTCATGTGACTCGGCTCCTTCTCCATTTTTATTGAGGTGGTCATGTGATGTGTACAGGACGCTCTTCTCTGTAGATAAGAAACGGTCAGTTATTATTATTATACGGGATTTATAGAGCGCCAACAGTTTGCGCAGCGCTTTACAATATAAGGAAGACATTACAGTCACAATACAATTTAAGACAAGATGGTAAGGAGGGCCCTGCCCCTGAGGGCTTACAATCTAAAAGGGAGGGGCCAGTGATACATGAGGAGGGAGCTGTGTGGGGATGAATTATGTGAGAATGCGATTGTTCAGTGGTTAGGGTGAGGCGGGATAGGTTTCCCTGAAGAGATGAGTCTTGAGGGAACGCCTAAAGGCAGCCAAGGTGGGAGATAGACGGACAGGTTGGGGTAGAGAAGGGGGGGATAGTTGTGTTATCTCAAGGGAAATGTTGGGGGAAGGTGCACGGGCGGGAGGAAATATCATGAGCTCAGATTTTGAAAGGTTGAGTTTTAAGAAGTGTTGCGACATCCAGACGGATATGTCAGTTAGTAGATTAGTGACACGAGAGGACACCGAGGGGGAGGTGTGGAGTAGAAAGATATATTTGAGTGTCATCGGCATAGAGATGGTATTGGAAGCCATGTGAGGTTATTAACTGACCAAGGGAGGAGGTGTAGATGGAGAAGGGGGTCCAAGGACAGAGCCCTGGGGGACCCCTACAGAAAGAGGAAGAGGAGGGGAGGAGTTAGAATTGTAGGTGACACTAAAGGAGGAGCTTAGACAGGTAAGAGGAGAACCATGAGAGAGCAGAGTCTGGTAGGCCAAGCGAGTGGAGTTTTTTGAGGAGGAGTTATGAGGAATGAAGGACTGTGGACTATGTTAGGTTGGGATATGGCCTACAAAATTGATGGGACTGAACCACGTTCTGTCTTCGGGGTCTACAAACAACCAACCTCTGGGAGCTCTCCTCACAAAGCATCTCTCACCGCTGACTGTCCCCGCACTCCTCCGTCTCTCACCGCTGACTGTCCCCGCACTCCTCCGTCTCTCACCACTGACTGTCCCCGCACTCCTCCGTCTCTCACCGCTGACTGTCCCCGCACTCTTCCGTCTCTCACCGCTGACTGTCCCCGCACTCCTCCGTCTCTCACCACTGACTGTCCCCGCTCTCCTCCGTCTCTCACCGCTGACTGTCCCCGCACTCCTCCTTCTCTCACCGCTGACTGTCCCCGCACTCCTCCTCCGTCTCTGACCACTGACTGTCCCCGCTCTCCTCCGTCTCTCACCACTGACTGTCCCCGCACTCCTCCTTCTCTCACCGCTGACTGTCCCCGCACTCCTCCT